AAGTATATTTATATTTGCCCTGATAAAGTCCATGAGAAGATGAAATGCAGTGGCTAAGTTTTCCTTTTGTCTTATATATTGCCTTTTATTTATATGAAAAGATACTGAAAAGTTCCTGTTCTTATTTTGGGAAATAGGTCATGTCAAAAATTCTTCTGTGTCACCCTCCCTCTGTGTGTGTGTGTATATGAGTAATATATATATATATATATATATATATATATAACTCTTCATTGCCAATTCAAGAAAGAAATTTGGATTACTAACACAGAAAATGTCTCATATCGAGAATATTTAACATTGAAAAACAAAAGAAAAAATTAATTATTTTTAATAATATCTGGAAATCTCCGCTTTTACCTGAAGACGGTCACAAGACCAGAAACTCGTGTAGTAAAATTATGTAAAACAAAGCATAATATTTTTTCTAAATAAATCCACATTACAACCAAAAACGTTTGTGGCACCTCTCTTCTTTTATTTATATATATATATATATATATATATATATATATATATAATGAAAGGGGCGTATTGGTTCTTCCATGATTATATTGATTTTTCCTATTTGTTTCTATACGAGACCATTTTATATTTCTCTCCTTCTTCATGTAATTAATTCTGTTAAGATGATGCCTGGCTTGAAATTCTGTAATTGTAACCTGCACTAATTAATTGGGCTCTGTAAATAGCAAGCATAAATACACAAAAATAGAAAAGAATGTAAAATAGCAAAGCAGTATGTAATGTTTTATTTCAAACAATATCTGCACAGTTGCTGAACGTGGGATGTGATCTGTTGCTGTTTCTATCTTGTCAGGTGTTGTGCTGTATTTTCCTTCCATTCTTTTGTTTATACACTCACACACACAGAAATATTACAAAACATAACATAGGCGGAAATAGCAAAATCACTGTTTACGTTTTTTTTTTTTTATTAGTTCATTTTCTTATTTGTCTAATTTAATTGAAAAGTGATGTTAATACATGCAATAAAGAGTTAACATTTTTGCGATTGTTATTTTAAGAGTAAATAAATTTTTTTTGTCCTTGTTTTTGCAATTGCCTCTAATGCCTTGTATGTTTATCGTTTTATGGAAGGCAGTTGGGGTGATATGTTTATTTGAATATTGCTTTAAGAACTGTTTAGTTCCATCCTACAAAACTTGAACTCTATATATGTTACTGTCTGCTCCTGTGTTTTGAAAAAACACCTCCCACATACATTTGCAGATACAATATTAATGACAGAATTTTGTCAGTTTTCAAATTTTGAATAGTGTGTGTTTGTGTGTGTGACATGCTGCCTGTGTCTGTATATAATTGGCTCCCACTGCCTGTTTATCTGTCTCTCTCTGTCCTTCAGTCCTTACAGCACATCCTGCTATCTCATTAGCAATCTCTTATTAGAAATTCCAGGAGATTTTTCAAACTCTACCTCAGTTTTTACATTTGTTAGCCCAGAGGAATTACAGACAACGATTGCATCAAAAGGCAACACAACATTTTGTTTGCAATGCAATTGTATGCAAGATGTTTAATGCTCTACCATTTATAGAGATGTCCTAAAATTCATTTTGCTTTCTTTTATTTTTTTTCTTCCAAATTCGGTGAAATTTCTGCAAGAAACAATGCTGGGAAATTCCTTTTATTTCATTCCTAACTTTCACACCTATTTCTTTCTTCATGATTCATGACAGTGGAATGTTTATAATGAAAGAAGTCTTGGGTTAACTTAAAAAGATAAAAAAAACAAGTGTAATATGATGCTGCTAGATATAGGCAGATTATGATGATATATATCATTTTTTTTCTTTGTTGTTGATATCTGAAAATAGAATTTGTATGTAAAACTACAAAATTGTTCGTATAAGTTTTGCTTGATGCAGAATTAACTTAAATTTCAAAATGAAATTCTTTTTATAAGAAATCTATTTGCAAACTTGAAATCCTCATATTAATTATAATGTCTCAGATTGGTTAATTTTCTATTTCAATTTTGTTGTTAAGCAAAAAAAAAAAAACTTAATTTGCTTTAAAAAAGAAAAATACTTGAAAAGATGTTATGTATTTTGTGTCTTGGATATTTGCAGTTTATGTAATAAAAAACATTTTATCATCTAGCTTAAGACAAAAATACAATCTGTTTAATATTTAATTTACCTAAGTTTTATGAATTTAAGCATACTACTAGATTGGCAGCTAGGTCTCATGTTACAGTTGAAATGACTAGATGTAACCATAAGTTCTATGCTAACAATTTCTTCTCTTGCACTTCTCTTGCTTCCCAGTCAAGTTTGATCTTCAAAAATTTAAATGCTATGTCAGTCATTATCTTCTGTCTTCTTAATTCCTGTTCTTTTATTGTCCTCTCTCCTTAATGTTTTTTTCTTATATTTTTTACACTCAGTAACACCTTGCATTTTAGTGGCTTTATTCCCTTACTTGGAATGAAATGATTTTAAAAAAATCTCATGAATTTGGTTTGAAATTGAGTTGCATGGTACCATAGAATACAATTTAACATGAAGGGACTAGAGATAAAGCCAAAAGTGATGGTGGTGTTCCTGAAACAATGTAGGTGAACTCTTTCCTTCAGAAAAAAAAAAGACTATGTTCTTGTCCACTTCCAGTTCCAGATGGATCCTTACAAAGGCCCTTCTGATATCTGCCAACAAAGCATGGTTATTTGCTTGAAAATGCCTTGAACTATTGCTAACATTTTTTTCTTTGCATTTATACAAATATTAACACTTTAAGCACCCCAGAAAAACTTAAATTTTCATCCAATTCATTGACCTGATGTAAAAAAAGAAAACTCAAATTATGCTTTTATGTCATTTTAATGTTTTCTTTTAAATCTGTGTTCAAAAATTATTACTGCTGCTGCTTAAAAAAAATTAAGAACCTTTCAGAGAAATGCAAAAATGATTTGCAATGAATGAAGAAATTTCCCTAAATTGAGATCCCTTGGCACAAGTCAGTCTTCCTGATTGATTGACTTAGAGAATCAAATAATAACTAAGGTTTTAATTTCTAAATGGTCAGACATTTCATACTCACCTTATTACAGCATGCTTGTTGTTCATATGTTGTAACTATTTTTGATGCCTGAAGAAGCTGGTAATTCAGGCTATTTCAAGATTTTCCAGCCTTCAAAAGATAATTTTAAAAATTGAAATTCTCAAGAGTGAAAATTTATTAAAAAAAAAATTCCCAGCAAAAAAAGTCCACCATATTATTTTCAGAATAGCTTGAGAAAAAAATTAATGTTCTTATTTTCTCTTTAAATATCGTTCATTTTTATTTTTTGTTCAGATCTTTGATTTTCATTTTTTTCTCTCAAGCTTCCCACACATTTTAAAAAAACACCTGAAAGTTCTTCCCTCTCTGCAGGAAAAATGTTCCAAATCTCTTCATGGATGCCTGAAACACAGTAATGAACCCTATGGATTAACTAATCTTACTTATTATAAAATGCAGATTGTGTGTGTGTGTGTACGTTTATATATTGGATCGGATTTCCTACATTTTTCAACCGATTTTAACAAAACTTCACAGGACGACGTAAAATTACCTCGCGGTGGTTCTGACAGCACCAGAAATTGGAAAAACACAATTGTTTTTGTACAGAATCAATTTGAAAACACAATAAAACACGATTCTCTCACCAGAATGAAAGGGGGACAACTCATATCGAGTTATACTTATTATAAAACCCAGGTTGTTTGTTTGTGTGTGTGTTCGTTTATATATGGGATTGGATTTCCTACATTTTTCAACCGATTTCAACAAAACTTCTTTTTTTTTTTTGGCAGGTAGTGTTTCTTATTGTCTTGCACACTTTTTTCTTTATTTTTACATTCAGAATACTTTAAAAATTCCATTTACAAGACAATTGTTTATAATAAAATTCTATTCAATCGGTAGGCTCATAACGATTGAAAACAATGTTTTTGTTTGGGTTTGACCAATTCGTAAAAAAAAAAAACAAAAAAAAAACTAATTAAGACATGCGTGTCCGTCAACCTTAAGCAATAATCTTTGTCAATTTTATTTTTCAGTCTTTATGATGGTTGATACTTGATCTATCTCTTACTGTTAAATCCCCGGGCAATGCCGGGCTCTACTGCTAGTTATTATATAATACTCTTTTAAAAAATATGAATAATTACACAATTACACACTTTACTTTCTATATATGTATGCAATATATAGATATGTATTCAGAGGTCAATGCACTTAATTCAGTGATGAATATTAATCATAGTGATTGAACAATTGATCCATTACTCCCCCACTCAATCATTACCACTTATCAGTGTGGGTATATGGTGGGGTGACTGGCAGTTTCACACCATAAGAAAAATCAGACCATTATTTATATCTACAAGCATTTTATTGCTAATATTGAGCACTCTTCTCACATAAATATAGCAAATCTGTACATGTACATACCGACACACACACACACACACACACACACACACACGTATATATGATGGCTGGCACTTGTTTTCAAGTCCATCTGTCTGTCAGGGTGGTTAGCTAAACCTTTTTGCAAAGACCTGATCAGGCACATTTGTGTTTTTTCAGCACCCACAGAGCCAACCTGTGGTTTATACTGCAGCTATGCTGAGTGGACTTTAATTAAACTTTCTGAGATAGTTGAACGAGGTCAGTACACTCAAATTCTCTGCCCTTATGGTTTTTGTCACCTTGTATCCATGACTTCCAAACCCAAATGCAGTGGTGCCACACACTGAGATCACTTCCACAAGCTGATAACATCAACAAGTCACTGCTTCGTCAAATTAATCATGGTGAGATTCGAACTGCAGTCTCATGATTGGAATGCTAATGAGATATGCATTAAAGAATGCTAATAATGTAGAATTTAGAAAGCATTATGAAAAAAAGATTACAATACAGAACCAAAACTTAATAACTATTCAAATATGTACCCCTAGCTTCATGCTCTGTGTAATCTTAGGGTGGGAATGAGGAATCTTTTACACTCTCTCTCTCTCACACTCTCTCTAACACACTCTCTCTCACTCTCTCACACACTCTCTCTCTCTCTCGTTGAGAATTTTCTTTTCCTTTCGAAGTAAGCAAGGTTGATTTTTCTTTTGCTATATCTGAATTGCTAACATTACTTTACATGTGATTTTTCAAGAAAACAATGAATTTTTTATTTCTAGAATTGACTACAGGTAATTAAAAGGGAAAGGGAAAAGGCAGATAAGGGAAGATAACTGTAAAAGTTTTTTTTTTTTTTTTTTTTTTTTATAAAAGCATTGGTTTTTGATTCTCCAAAAATTGTAATTTTTTTCTTTTCAGTTAAAATATGGAATTGTTTTTCTTTTGTTTTTTTTTAAGGTAACATAATGTCATTGATTCTTTCAATATTTTAGAACATTAATAATTGATATACAAATATTTATACACACACGCACATCTAAGAGAATTTAGATTACTCAGGTGCATTGCTAGAAAAAAGCCAATTATTTCAGAGAAGAATCTACTCAAGTGGCTGAATTTCGCGAAAAGTCACATTCAATGGATGGCCGATGACTGGTGTAGAGTTCTTTGGAGTGACAAGTTACATTTTTGTATCTTTGGATTGGATGGAAAAACCTTTGTCAGACGCCGCCCAAGCAAGGAATTCCATCCTAAATGTGTCAAAAAGAAGATGCAAGTGGTAGATGGGCGTGTAATGGTGTGTGGTGATTTCAGTAGCTTTGGTATTGGTCCAGTTGTTAAAGTTGATGGAAAACTCAACAGTGTAGGCTATATGCAGCTAGTTAAGGAACATGTTCTGCCATATTTGACTGAGCAAATGCCACCTAGAGCTATTTATCAACAAGATAATAGCTCCATTCACAAGGCCAAAAAAAGTAATACAATTTTTTGATCACCATAATATGGATGTTATTGAGTGGTCTCTATAGAGTCTGGATCTTAATCCGATTAAAAATTTATGGAATTATATTTCTAAAAAAGTTCACACTAAAAAAACAAATGTAGCCCAATTATATTAAGCAAATATGGCAGAGCATTCCAAATCATTTTTGTGCTTACTTATCAAGCTCGATGCCTAGGCAATGGGAAGCTATAATTAATAATAAAGGTTACGGCACTAAATATTGATAAATATTTTGTTTTTATTTTTGCTCATTTTTACTATAATTTTTTGCTTTAAATATAATAATATCTGTGCGTTCTTAAACTTATTTTGCTGGCAAATTTGGATAATTTAAATGAATCCAGCATTAAAATTTTTCAAGTTGTAGAAAAATATACAATTTTTACATCATTTGAAAGAGAAATAAATTCTACATAAAATAAAACTAATTCATATTGTTTTATTAGAAACCTATTCTGAAATGAATAAAACTTTAACCATCGGTCTTTAAACTTATTTTTGTCAGTGTATATTTGAGTAGGCGCTTCGTTTATTTATTAAACAGTATATTTATTTTTGCCTGTCAGCCTGAATATTTGAAAAATTAGAGGAAATTGCACTCTCTGGCAGGATTCAAACCTGTGTTCCCCTAGGAAAAATTGTCATTAAATCTGATGTGCTCTAGAACTCTCAGCCACAGAGTGCATCAATGGTGAAGCGAAGTTGAATAGTGTCTTTAAATAATAAGATTTTAATATGATTTCTCAATTTTTTTTTTTTTTTTATTGTAGATTCCAATGGAAACTAAATCAGTCTGAGAAGTAATAAAAGAACAGTCTTGTTTGTGATCTATTTGTTGACCTTTTAGATAATACAAATATGAAACTGCTTGGTATTGCCTGAGCCTATAGGCAAGTAATTCTAAATGTAGAGGGAAATTTGTAATTTTGGTGAGAAGTGCAAAACTACACTGTGGTTGTCAACTAAGCCATCTTCAGGCTTAACTTTTAAAATTCTTTAGATGTATTCAGATATTGTTTGCTTAATTCTCTAGATTCCCTTTTCTATAAACTATGCACTAACTTTGTACTCTTGTTATATATAGCCGTTTTCACAAAATGAGTTTCTTCTTAAATTATGAAAACAACTTAGGTTTCAATTTTCAATCTCAAACTAGTAATGGCAAAAAGTTTGGTGACTAATGTACTTGAATGCACCAACCAACATCACATTTTCTTGTCTTGATGACTGTCTTGAATCCTTCATTTATGAAAAGGACATAGAAAATAACATGTTGTATTTGTGTTAATTTTACTTACATTCACTTTAGCAAATCCACAACAGTTTTTTTTTCTTAACAGATATTTATCCATTTAAGATGTTTCTGGAGTAATATTTCAGAAGTTTGCTTCTCATGCCTTTTATGTATAATGAAAGGTTAATATTTTTATCTGTGTTGTTACCTTTTTTGATGAGACACTTTTCTTAGTATATGTGATGATGATATTGTGAATCATGAGAAAGCAGCACAAAGAATATAAGAAACTTCCAAAACATTTTGGATGAAAATAAAATTGCAATGTAAGATATTGTATCATGTGCTTCAGCTGGTGTTATTTCAATGATGAGAAAAAAAATTGCTGACTCAAATTAATGAAGAATGACAATCCAGAAAATTTAGTCATCAAAAATATTTCACCAGGTTTACATGACTTGTTGATGGCAGTAAAAATGTAATACTATCAAAGCAAATACAAAATAAGAACATCTTTCTCTGCAGATCTGTTTGGATAAAATGTAAGATTGTTGCTTCATTAAGATGATTCCTTTGAAAGATTTGTTAAACTATTTGAGGTTCAGAATCAATTTTTAAATGAAACTTGAAATTAAGTTATTTTTAACAAGTGCAAAATGTTTGAAATACAAAATGATGAGTGACTTATGACTACATTTCAAGTAAAAGTGACTGAATTCAAAGAATTTGACAAAAAAGCTGTTATGATTCTTATCTTCATATTTGGTAGAATGTAGTTTCAGTCTTGTGACTTATATGAAAAAAGAAACTGAAGCTATTTTAAAGTTTCAAGATTATTTGTAGTCAATATCAGGCTCAGAAGTTTATTTTGATCATCAAATTTGAAAATTTGAATTTATATTTTTGATATTGTAAATTTAAAGTGATATTATTATAGCATGTCATATTTAATAGAAATAATTAGAACTTTACTAAAAAAACTTATTTAAATGTTCCTCTTTGATATAAAAATAATTTTGGTTAATTTCTGTATTTAATGATATATTACACTTTCACATTATTTTTTTTATAGTAAGCAAGGAAAAATGCAATATTTTGTTGATGGGCAAGAGTTAAATTATATAGGTGATGATACTTTCCTACTGTATTATATATAATGCAATAATTTTTTTATATTGGTACATTAACATTTTTAGCTCTTGATTTGGAGAATGAAATGAGATGCCATGAAAATTTGTAGCCTTTATTAATAAATACCCAATCTGCTGATTTTTAAAAAAAAATCTCAGTTCTACAATATAGATATTTGGTACAAAGGAATTAGTTTCTGTCTGAAGGTTAATCCAACAGTCTGTTAAACTTGAATTTATTGGTTAGAATGTAATCCATATGACTATGAATTCCATATTCAATTCTCATATTCTGTTTCTACCTCAAAATGTCTTCTTTCATAAAACAAGGGAGGCTTATATCCTTTTGATATTTGCCTGAATAATTGAATAATTAAATGGAAAATTAAATACTTATAAATTGTACAGTATATGCAATGAATAAATAACAGCTTCCAATTAAAATTAATTGGAAGCTGTTATTTATTCATGGCATATACTGTACAATTTATCTAAATTTTAGTCAATATTCTCTTGTGTTGTTATTGAGGGTGAGAATCAATGATCCTGACCCTGCCCTTGTCTTAAGTCTGCTCTTTAGAGAGTTTGATGATAGAAAGTGGATGGCAAGATCTGGACACCATCTGCATAAAAGTGAGGCAGGTTACAATAGCAATTGACAATGTGTCTAGCAACTTACAGAAAATAACTTTGACCTTTTACTATTAATTTTGTCCCACTTGTTCAAGCAACAATGAGCCTCAAGAGAGTTGAATGAATTTTGTAGGCAAGTTAGTTTCAAATCACACACAATGTTCTGCCTTATTTCATCTTTGGATTTACTCTTTTCTTATATATATGTGTGTATGAGGCACAGTGGAGTAGTAGATAGTGGCTCGGATTGAGGAATTGGAGAGCTGAGTTCGAATTCTAGTCAAATCCATTACATTCACTTATGTGCTAATACCCTTGGGAAAGGTATGAGTCCTCTTCTTCTCCCTCCAGCTATGGCTAAATAGCAGGACAGACTGGGTTCTATAGCCTTGGATGGCAACTGGTCTAGGAGAAGGACAACTCTGAATTCAAAACCTGCAGAGGGTTGTTTGGGGACCTTGTGCACATAGTGCACCAGGTTTCTGTATTGTGTGATTGGTTCTGCAGAAACCTTCACCACTATAATCAAATCATATATGCTGGTGTCTGGGCTGTCAGTTCCTAGGAACTGAGCTGCTTGACCCTCATATGTCGAATACAATGGGAGAGTCCCCATATATATATATATATATATATATATATATATATATATATATATATATATATATATATATATTATTTTTAAAAAAAAAAATTATAACATAAATATATTATAAAATCACTACAAAAATAGCCATTTTGTTTCAACACCCTCGGTGTCTTATCAAGTGATGATGTTGAAGATAAAATAAATGGTTTTAAAAGTTTCAAATTAATTAACGATTTTTTGCTAGGGGAAAACATTGTAATGATATATATAATCATTACTCTTAATTTTTCTTTTGTTTTTATCTATCTATTCATTATTTGATGCTCTTGTAGTATATTACCAACCCAAACCATCACCCCATCTCTCTCTCTCTCTCTCTCTCTCGACCTTCATTTTTTCTCAATGTCTTACTGAAATTATAAAAATGGCTGACTCTTAATATTTTCTTTTCATTTCATTTATGCCAATTTACTTTTCTTCTCTACTCTTGTTTTCTCTTTCTCTCCTTGTCACTTTTTGTTTCTGAATAAAAGTTCAAATATATCTCATGAACTTTAACTTTTTAAACCCAGTTTTTTCTTCTTTTCACTAAACC